CCCTACACCCTAAACCCTAAACACTAACCCCTAAACCCTAAACGCTAAACCCTAAACCCTAAACCCTAAGCCCCTAAACCCCTAACCCCGAAACCCCTAAACCCCTAAACCCTAAACCCCTTAACCCTAAACCCCTAACCCCCAAACCCCTAAACCCCCAAAACCGAAGCCCCTAAACCATAAACCCCTGAACCCGAAACCCTCCTGTCTTCACAACTTTGACCGAGACTCTGCTCCACGCTCTCGCGGCCCCTGCAAAAAAACTTGGCGAGTTACGGGTCCCTAGGGGTTTAGGGTTTAGGGTTTAAGGGTTCAGGGTTTAGGGTTTAAGGTTTAGGGGTGAGGGTTTAAGGTTTAGGGTTTAGGGTTTAGGGTTTAGGGTTTAGCGTTTGGGTTTAGGGTGTAGGGTTTAGGGCCCCTAGAGAAAAACCTGGCAGCGATCCTTGATGGGTTCCTGTAAGGGTTCCGCTACACTGTGGGATCCTGTCAGGGCATCCTTTGCGAATTCCTTTCAGAGCTTTTTTTAGGTTTAGGGTTTAGGGCTTAGGCGGTTGATGATATGAATCCTGCAGTGCCCATAATACGGAACATACCATAAATCCCATAGCTAAGGGTCCTTCAGGTAATGCAGGATTTAGATCATCAACAGTATGCCTCGGACCTTCTTCGGACGTCAAGGGTTTAGGGTTTAGGGTGTAGGGGGATGTTGAAGGAACTTAGAAGGCTTCTCCAGCAAGTTCCACGTACTTGGAGGTTTCCTTTGTCTATACATAAAGGACCATGGGACTTGGTAACCAGGCTTATAAATAAGGTTAAGTAGTTATAACCCCAATTAAGGTGGTTATATCTATACTTGCAAAGTCCCATGATCCTCCAAATAAGGTTTAGGGTTTCTGGGTTTGAGGTTTACAGCCGTTCAAGGATTTCGCGGCCTAGGCTGAGACGCTCAAGGGGAAAGGGGGTTCCAGGTGTAAGGGTTTTCACTGTGGGCTTTGGGAGTTTAGGGTTTAGGGCTCGTTCAAGTTTGTTGTACCCTAAACCCTAAACTCAACCCCCCAAACCCTAAACTCAGAACCCTAAACCCTAAACCCTAAACTCAACCCCCCAAACCCTAAACCCAGCCATGCGGTATCGGGTCGGTTTGTGCGAGAGCTTTCCTCCTGATGCCATCCTACTTTACGGGTCCGAGACACAAGCTGCGATAGCCAAGCTATCTCGCTTTGGAGTTTGGAGTCTACGGTTTAGGGTTTAAGCTCCAGCTTATAGCTTAACCTAAACTTTGCTTGATAGGGTTGTTATATCCTCTACAGGGCTTTTATAAAGATCTGAAGTAGTTTCTGTAAGGTTGTAGAGCTTTTAGTCTAGAACGTAGGATTTACAGAGACCCCTTAGAGGAAACCTTCATAGATCCCCTCTAGCCTCGGAATTGAGGTAAAAGAGTTGTCGTTGCATTCGGGTGACTGCCTTATTATTATTATTATTACTACTACTGTAGGCCTACCTTGCACTGCTAAAGCCTACTCTGCTGACACGCCTTAGTTTGCAGCCCAACATTGGAAAAAAGAAAAAACAAAACGGAAGCTACGGAAACATAGGATGGCCTCCGCTGCCTCACTTCATTGGCGCGCTGCCAGTCCTCTTCAGATCTTTCTGTCATGGATACTTGGAGGCCCTTTTTACTTAGTAAGTCAACTTAGTATCCCCCAGGAGCCCTATTACAATCCCCATAACCCACCTTACTAGCCCCACGTACTAAGTCAAAAGGGCCTCCAAGTACTGCGAACCTTACAAAATCAAGCAAGAAACCTAAACCCTTAGCCCGAAATAACGCCCCCAAGCCCTACGCCGAAGAACTAATGACCCTTAACCCTAAACCCCTAACCTGCCGGCATGGATAAGCCGGTTTTCCTGTAGGCTCCAAACTAGTTCCTTGTGGTTTGTAGTTGGGATCCTGTAAACCCTAAACCCTAAACCTAATCTCAAAAAGGAACTACAATGGAGACTATACCCTAACCCCTAAATCCCCACCCTATGGGTAGATGGTTTCCGGCTTTGGGTGCTTCGAGGCCGGTTTAAGAGTTCGGGATTAGGGTTTAGGGATTCCGGATGAGGGTTGGGGGGTTAAGGACTTCTGAGTTTGAAAGTTGGGTTTTGGGGATTTGGAGATTGAGGCTTACGGCGGTTTAGGGTTAAGGGTTTAGGGTTTAGGGTTTAGGGTTTAGGGTTAAGGGTTTAGGGTTTAGGGTTTAGGGTTTAGGGTTAAGGGTTAAGGGTGTAGGG